TTTGACTGCCCCGTTAAAGCAGGCTTTTCTTTGGGGTTTTTTAGATTGCCTACTTTAGCAGCATATATTTCATGCCTAGAATATATGAGGTAAAAAAGAAAACCCAGAAAACTCACCTCCATGTTGTTACTTGAGTCCTGACATCCCTAGGTAGCCTATCTTCTTTATGCCTGTCAGAGTCACCTTATGTTTGCTTTGTCTATAATTTCCAGAGTTCTTAATATACTCAATGGGAGGAACAAGGAAAAATAAGCCTACTTCATCTTCCCAGAATCAGAAGTTTCACTCACAAAATTTTTCCTCCAACCTAAATCTTTTCTCCATGGTCCAGAAATGAGTATCCTCATTTTAATCTGCATTTGTATGTCTGAGTCACCTCAAATATAACTTAAGCTCAAGGCTGAGCCACCTCCGAATGTTGCACTGCAGTCTTCCTGCTACACAAGGGAAAAAGTTAAAGTTCTTCTTGGCACCTCTTCTCCCTCCCATTCTAATTATCATGAAGCCCAGTTGATTTTTTTTCTCTGAAATATGCTTTAAGTCTTCCCCCTTCTCTGTTATCTGTATGCCACAACTGTAATCTAAGCTATTATCATATCTGGTCAAAATTTTTTGCAAAAGTCTCTTGTCTGATCTGCTCATATACACCCTCCCTGTTCCAAACCTTTCTCTGTATTATTAGTGGAGTAATCTTTTCAAAACATTATTGTTCTTATTTAATAAATTGATATTGCTTTTAGAACATTGATTTTTAAAAATCTTTCACCTCACTTACAAGCCTTGCACAAATCTATTATAGAAGCTCAGTATTTGTTGGTAAATAACTATAGTGTATATCTCCCTGATTAGACTCAGTTCACCTAATATACAAAAACATACCCTAAAACTCTGTGTTTCTTCAGTTCAGTGGTGATCTGCAAAAGCTTAATAATGATGATCTTGGTATTCTAATGACTATACAAGGAGATTTTATATACAGTATGGCTAGAAGGAAAACACATGAAAGTAATAAACAGCAAACTATTAATTGTCCTGATATTTCTTTTTCTTTCTTTCTTTCTTTTTTTTTTGGAGACAGAGCCTTGCTTTGTCTCCCAGACTGGAGTTCAGTGGCACAATCTCAGCTCACTGCAACCTCCGCCTCCCAGGTTCAAGCAATTCTTGTGCCTCAGCCTCTCAAGTAGCTGGGATTACAGGTGTGCGCCACTGTGCCCAGATAACTTTTGTATTTTTTGTAGAGATAGGGTTTCACTATGTTGCTCAGACTGGCCTCAAGCTCCTGGCCTCAGGTAATCTACCCCCTTCAGCCTCCCAAAATGCTGGGATTACAGGTGTGAGCCACCATGCCCAGCCTCTTGCTATTTCTTATATTAAGTGAATTTATTTGTCTGCTTAATAATTACTATCTGTAATATAAATGTTCTTACATTTCTAAGTATATATACATTTTTAAACCACCAACTCACTTCTCACCCCTATTGGAAATCTGTAAAATATTCAGTCTCTGCATTTAAAAAATAATAATAACTTCCGGGGAAAATGGTCATAAGTTAATGAAAATATTAACTTTGACAACAAAAATGACAGAATCATTACAAATATGTTTGTACTTACGACCTTCCCAAATAAATGTCAAAGTATCACAAGCTCTTCACTATATGAACTATGTTTATTTATTGTTGCATTCATTGCATATAAGAGAATAACGTCAAAATATTGTTTCCGATGTTAAGACTATGTAAAAGGAAGGTGGACTACTTCCTCTGCTCTTGAAAATCATACGGGTCATTTGGATTAAAAAAAAAAGAGAGAGAGAGACTTCTGATCTGACAAGGGTTGGGTTAATTGGAGACTTGTAAGACAAGATTTTTGGTCCTGACCTCTAAATCAGTTTTAGAACATCAGGTGAGAAAGAGAGAAAAAAAAAAAGGAAGAAAGAAACCAGTAGTTACAATATGAGTAAAAGATAAAAAAGCAAGAACAGGTGGGACTTTGGTAAGCAAAGGTAAAACCATTAATCTAGGAAAAAAACAAAAGATAGGATAGTCACAACAAGAAATATCTATAATTTATTTATATAGCTATAAGTAAGAGATTTTCAATATATAATTCAAAATGTAATCACAGTACAGACCATGAGAGATCAAATAGTTTAGAATATTCCCTTTTGTCACAACCAATTTATACCTCAGATTTATAAGTAATGCTTAAATTTCAGAGATAAACTCCAACACATTAATTCTATAATGTAGGAATAGGTTTACATTTCAGTGCACTGATAAATTACATCCCAACTGAAGTTTCTACATCTTATAGGAATAGATGGGATTTTTTTGCACATGTGAGGTTTCTTTTCATTTATACACAAGTTTAGGGTAATTCTGAGATTTAAAAAAAAAATGCTCAGAAGCGAGTCATGAAAATCATTCAGAAAAGATATAGCATTTTATTTTGTTGGATCCACTGAAAATTTAGACTATGATAATGTTTAAACACAACTGAAATTTGTTTCTTTAATATCACTTTATATTTTATTTAATTTGTATATGTTTCTCTTGTGTATTTAACTTTCTGTTATGGTGTTTCCGCATCTGATTTCTAATAATGGTGACCATGGACAAAGGAAATGTGTTATCTCATGAACTTGAGCATAACTACAGAAACCTTCCAAGAGAAATTAATTTGATCCACCATAATTCTCCTTATGGAAAAGAGAAAAGTATATTCATCATATTAGGAGAAAAACTTTCAGGAAGTTGTAAAAATTAATACTCTTCTAAAAGTATTTCCAAAGTTCTACTCAATATAGTAAACACAGTATAGACAGTGGGAAAACTATTAGAAAACTGTTACATATAAAATTAAAATTTTTTCTGATTATGAAAATCTATTATATTACTAAAACTCTACTAAAATGATAGCAATAGTGATGAATGAGTGAGTGATATATAAAAAATGCTATCAAATTCAGTGATCCACTTATGGGTTTATGTAGCAAGAGAGGTTACATGGAGTAACACAGAGTAAATTAAACCTTGGAATAAGGATGAGATTTTACTGATAGATTTTTGAAGAGGCAAGGAAATTTAGTGATAACAAGGTTCAGCTATAAGGACACTTGGCTGTTTGCAGACAATACTATTTAAAATTTGGTGAGTGCTTACTACATGCTAGGCTATGTTCTAAACACTTGCATGTGGTATGACCCATTTGATTCTCTCAACAAGATCAAGAGTCAAGTGCTCTCATCTCCATTTTACAAAGAAGGAGATAGCAGCATGGAGAGAATAAGTCACCCAGAGTCATAGAACTACTATAGTAAGTGGTGGAGCCATGATTTGAAACCTGGCTAACAGTCCCACAGTCTGTGCCTCCACAGGAGCCTCTCTCTAGTGTGAGCAATTCACAAATGTGCCACCCTCCTTATGTGTCAGGCATTTATGTACATGTACATTTCCTAAGTTAATCGTCACAGCAATTCTAAGAGTTAGGTGGTTTAGAGATGAAGAATCGAGACATAGCAGGTCCGGAATTAGAACCTATGCTATATCTTATCTCATGTTTTCAAAATCTCTTCTTCCAGCTTGGCTAAAGTCAAGAACTTGTTAACTAATTCATAGAACATAGGTTGGATAAGTCAATGAAGGCCAAATAAAAAAGGATTTTGAATCAAAATTTTAAAATTTAGACATGATACTTTAGACATAGGCCTCAGTGTATGTATGTGCTCAATAAATGTTGTTGAAGAAATGAATGAATATAAACAGAAGTGAAGGTACTGGTATTCCAGCCTTTCCTGCAGGCATTATGGTAGCATGATTACAAAATAAATTTTCTAAATAAAATAATCATAGCCAAAATACTAGGGTGTTTGTTTTCTTTTATACATTTTGCCTGAAATTAGACTCCACTGTCCCAAACCTGCCACAAATTGCTGAAGTTACAGCTTTCTGATATAAATATCCATACTACTGAAAGGTTTCATTAACTGTCAGATTAGTGAAATTTTTCACTCCATTGTATTTTTGCTAAAATAGCTAAGCATAGCAACAAAAAGAAAACAACTATGTTTTATTGTTTAAAAAAATAAGAGTTTCCCTCAATAATCCATGACTTTTTAAATTGCTACTTGGTCTAACCCTTCACCAAATTGGTGTTAAATTGGCCTAGGGTACCAAAACTCTGTGTTCTTATTTAATGAGTGATAATTCCTCAAACAGGGATGTTTCCAGTCCTCTCTCTGCTATTCTCTGTTAGAATTGCTAATACTTCATCTCAGGCCTATCCATATCTTAAATTACATGATTAAAAAAAAAACTAACAAAGATGGAGGACATGGGACCATCTTCTCTCTGGTCTTTTGTTTTCTTATTTTTCTATCCTTAGACTACAGTAGTCAGTATTACTTACATAATAACATGGTCTATTCATATTCTTCCTTTCTGATCAGCAGTTTTACTGGGTCTAGTGTGAAATAAAATATAGCTACCTTTTTTCCCCTTCGCTAAGCAGATGCCAGTGAATTGTTAACATCTGCTTTTTTCTTAGCTTTTACCAGAAACTTTTTTCCTAAAGGGTCATCATTTAAGGCAATTTTTTTTAATACTATAAGGTCAAACACATCTGTTTGATCATATCAAAATTTAGCAGAAAATGTACTTTTTATAAAGACTCCATAAATATCACTTTCACTCTGAATTGGCCTTTATGATACTTTTAATGAATAATATTCCCCTCCACATGTAATTTAGAACTAAACATTTCAGACAATATAGTTGAATTGTAAAATATCTTATCCTTTTCTCTCTATTGCAGCCCAGTTATTCAAAGCCTACAATTATGCAGTTTCTCAAGCTGTCTCACAATGAAGGAAATGTATCTATTACAGTAGAGGAAAAAAACAAGAAAATTCAAATGAAAATAAGTCGTTATAACTGCTGATTTAACCTGACAAACCATTTCTCTTCCTTTGAATGATTGCTACTGTTTTTGGTTTATAGGGACCGAGCTCCTTTCATTTTTACTTCAGAGATGGAATACTTTATTACAGAGGGTGGGAAAAACCCACAGCATTTCCAAGATTTTGTGGAACTTTGCTGTCGTGCTTATAATATTATCAGAAAGCACAGCCAACTGCTCTTGAACCTGCTAGAAATGGTAAGTCCCTTGGGGAAAAAAAAAACAAAAATAATAAGCTTCATTTATGCCTCTGCTTCAGTAGTCTATTTTTACTAATGGCTTGGAGTTCCCCAAGGAGCTATTCAGAAGAAAAAGGAATGAGCAAACTGAGAGTACTATTGTACAGCTTATAAACATATTCCTGAATAATTTAATATATTCTTTCATAGTTATTGTCTCAAACATTCCTATTCATATCAATATTGATGCATGTAGGGGTTATCCCACTATATTTTGGCTAATGTTCAAGGACAGTCATTTTAAAAATAATGCCTTCAGTCATATTGGGCATTAGGACCTTTCAAAAATGCCTTATATATACTATCTCACTTATATATCATGACAACCTAATGTAGAACAGGCAAGAATTGTCCCTGGTTCTCCATTCCAAACTCCACCTTTGATCACTTGCCAATTTCCCACATTAAGAAACTGAGGGTCAAAATTGGAAAGTGAGTTGCCAGCGACTCAACTTTTAGTGGTATGCATTAGGTGTACTGAGTCATGGTCTTACACACTCTCTTGTGACCAGCAGGGGAAAATTTAAGGTTTTATTCCACTGTCCAATTTAAAGAGATGGAGACCAGATATGTACCATGAAGGAAGAAAAATCTGATAGAAATATCTTCTAGGAGAGGGATATAGTGATTCCTCTAGGCACGTACATACACACTAGGGATTGCAGCAAACTATACATGGGAAACATACATTTGGTCTATCAGCATGGGATTTGGAGTCTATGAAAAATAACTGATTTAAAACTTCCAGATGACAATAATTCTACCACATGTTGTTAAGGGTACAAACGTGGCAGGCAGACCTTTCTGGGTTTCAATCCTAGTTTGGCATTTTACTGGCTACATTCTTCACGATATGTTACTTAACCCCCCAAATACTATTTCCTTATCTATTAAATGAAGATAACAACATCTACCTTGTAGAGTTAATGAATAAATGACCTAACAGTGAATTCTTTGCATGGCCTAGGCACTGTGCTAAGTGCTGTATGTGCATTAATTGTTTTAAATTGCTTTGTGTGTACTAATTGATTTAAAATTCATAATAACCCTAACAGATCATTAACAAAAAGCACTTAGCACAGTACTTGCCATTCAATTCATTTATGTTCTTATACTAGATCCTTGTTAATTTATAAGAACACTGTCCAATGTAATATCCTCTAGTCACATGTTTGTTTATATTTAAATTAATTTTTACTAAACAAAATTTAAAACTCCATTCTTCAGTTTCACTGATCACATTTCAAGTACTCAGTAGCCACGTTTGGCTAGTAGTAGCACATTGGTCAGCACAGATAGGAAACTTCCATCACCACAGAAAAGTTCATTGGTTAGTACAGAACAAATGTTAACTTTGTTGCAAGAAAGATTTGATTTAGAGTCTTGTTTTAACTTTCAAACAACATATTCACCTTACTTCTCTCCACTTTGCCTTGAAAGAAAAGTATCTCTAAAAATATTATAAACAGGTCCTTCGTATGCAAATATACTGGTTTCTTCTTGTGTAAAGTGGATATATAAAGCTCTACACATCTCCAAAATCTACAAGTTGGCTTTTCAGTAATAGCCAAGGATTCTTATTGGTAAATCTGCATTCTAGCTCCCAATTCTATTAGGCCATTTTGCAAGTATGAAATGACTATGGTTTATAATGTGACTGTACCACAAACAAACAAAAAAAACCCTACAAGGATTAAGTCTGTGATTCTGACCCCATTTAAATAATAAATACCCAGGTAGAATCAAGAGCTCTTGTTTACCATAGGCTAGAAACTGCAAGGATACATTAACATATGATGAAACCCAGAGTCTTAAAATTTTCAATTTACTGAGGAAGATAAAATTAATTTACATAAAAAACCGAGGTGTGGCCGGGCATGGGATTATGGGCCAAGGTGGGTGGATCACAAGGTCAGGAGATCCAGACCATCCTGGCTAACAGGGTGAAACCCCATCTCTACTAAAAATACAAAAAATTAGCCAGGTGTGGTAGCGGGCACCTGAAGTCCCAGCTACTCAGGAGGCTGAGGCAGGAGAAGGGTGTGAACCCGAGAGGTGGAGCTGGCAGTGAGTCCAGGTCATGCCACTGCACTCCAGCCTGGGCAACAGAGCAAGACTCTATCTCAAAATAATAATCATAATAATAATAACCGAGGTGTCCAGCACTTCTAAATGCCTATAATGATATAAATAACTACATATGAGGAGTAGTACCAAATTTTAACAACTGCTTTAACCTGCTCCAGATATTTCAAAAATAAACCCAAAACAGAAAAGCATAAATATAAGTTACACTGTTTCTCAGGTGACACTAAAATTATACTGATGAAAACTGAGCATGTTAAAATAATGTGAAAGAACAGCTCTTTGGAAAAAAAAAAATAGATTCAGAAAGCTATCAGTGGGCTTTTTTTCTCTTGTTTAATAAACTTTTCTACATACCTTAATAAAGCATTCAGCATTGAGTCATGATATATTAAACAATCGCCAAAGAGAATATATAGTGATATTTTATTTAAAAGAAGTAGCCATATGGTATTTTATTCATAAGTATTGAAATAATTTATCATTAATCAGTTGTTGAAAATTTCTGGAATATAGTATATCCAAAAAAAACCTTCTATGCTCTAATTATTCAGCTCCTTTAGGCTAAGGAAGAAAATTTGGCAGTGGAAGGCACTAATCCAGAGTAAATATATAATCTTAGATTTAGGCTCTCACAGAAATTGAAATAGAGATCAGAAGCAATGTGGACCAATTAAACTAATGAATGTAAAACAGCACCGTGTTATTACCTCAGTTTCTGTTCATTTACCTCTCAACTCTCTTCTTCTCAGTTGTGTATCTTATGAGACTCTATAGATCATCAAAGCATTTAGTGAAGGTTTCAGAACCACACTTTCTTTGGTATAGTTTCTTATAAAATAAAACCAAGTTTAAATTTGGTTTAAATAGTGAAAGACTATTTTCTACTTATGTATGTAATCTATTTGTTAATTCTGTCTCAACCTGACTCTTTTATGTTAAATTCTTTAAAAAGAATTCAGTCTACTTACCATGACCCAGTTACAACTTGAGAAATACTTGACATGGGTTATAAATTCTATCTTGTGCGAATGATCAGTCCCCAGGATTATGGGCCACAAGCATTTCGTGGGTCCACTACAGAGTTAATGGCTCATCCTTGGTAAAGAGCAGCATGTCTCCAGATATCCATATTGCTTTTTATTTACTCCTGAGAAAAGCAGGGGAAAAAGTAATCCATGAAATTCCCATCTTGCTTAAAAGTAACATCTGTAGGAGACCCAAGAGTGTTGCCGGCTGAGTTCACGAAAATAAAAGCCTGTGTTTCATCAGCTTTTCTCTCATTAAAAAATCAATATCAGCTATTATGGAAGGCTTCCAGAGAACACAGAGACCATTTGCCCAGTTTAAAATGTTTATCACACCCATTATTATATCAGATATTTCCCATCAGAAATCTTTCTAACTTCTCTATGTGATGGGGAAGAGTGTCTGCTTTTCTGAGCATAACTGTTAAAATAAATGTGGACTCAGTAGGAAGAGAACAGAAGTAAAGACTTCAAAAATGTTCCTGACCTTTAAAAAGGGAGATATCTATTCATTACCTGTATCTGTTCACTTCCTGTTCTAGCTTCCCTTTCCCTTTGCTATTGCCCCCATTACAGTTATTACCCATGCAGTCTGGAGTGGGAGGCACCTGAACCATGTGGCTGGGGATCAGAGAAGAGACACAGCTAAGTGCACCCGGCTAAGAGGCCATCCTTACTCTGTGATATGCAGAGTCAACACTCAAAGTCTCCTCTCCAAGGAGCAGAACACATTAATAAGGCAAACTTGGCGCATGTTACCTTTAGTCAGAAACATGGTGGGGAGAGAACTATTATAGGTTCATCTGGTATGAAGCAGTCTGTACTTGGCGGCTAGTGTGTGACATGTGTGGGTTATGTGTGTGGGTGTTGGCAAGGGAACGAGTAAGTATAGGGTCCACTTTCCAGAGAAATGTTTGATAGAGTTCTAACCAAGCAGGTGTGAACTCAGGGTATCCAGAGAAACTGGAATGCAATTCAGACCTTACAGAAGCAGCCTGTCCTTAGAAAATGGATAGTTACGGTGTGATAAAGAAGAAATCTGCCTCAACGAGCACACAGAAGTCTCTATACCTCTTAGTACAGAACTAGTAAGATAAAACCTAATCTAGATTCTAGTGACTATCGGGAATGTGTCTTCCTATGGTTGATTTTGTTAAGTTTAGTAGTCAGCATTAAATTTGCTAATTTTATGTTTTCGTTGCCTAATAGCATCAAGTATTTTTTCTCTCTTATTTTAAACTTTTATTTTAGATTCGGGGTACCTGTGAAGGTTTATTATACCGGTAAACTTCTGTCACAGGGATTTGATGTCCAGATTATTTCATCAACCAGGTATTAAGCCCAGTACCCAATAGTGATCTTTCCTGCTCCTCACCCTCCTCCTACCCTCGACCCTCAAGTAGAACCCAGTGCCTGTTGTTTCCATCTTTGTGTTCATGAGTTCTCACTATTTAGCTCCCACTTATAAGTGAGAATATGCAGTATATGGTTTTCTGTTCCTGCATTAGTTTGCTAAGGATAATAGCCTCCAGCTCCATCCATGTTCCAGCAAAAGACATGATCTCATTTTTTGTAAGGCTTCATAGTAATCTATGATGTATATGTGCCCCATTTTCTTTATCCAGTCTGTCACTGATGGACATTTAGGTCAATTCCATGTCTTTGCTATTGTAAATAGTGCTGCAGTGAACATTTGTGTGCATGTGTCTTTACAGTAGAATGATATACCCAGCAATGAGATTGCTGTGTCTAACGGTAGTTCTGCTTTTAGCTCTTTGAGGAATCACCATACTGCTTTTCACAATGGTTGAACTAATTTATACTCCAGCCAACAGTGTATAAGTGTTCCCTTTTCTCCACAGCCTCGCCAGCATCTGTTATTTTCTGACTTTTTACTAATAGCCATTCTGACTGGTGTGAGATGCTATCTTATTGTGGTTTTGATTTGCATTTCTCTAGTGATCAGTGGTATTGAGTTTTTTTTCATATGCTTGTTGGTCACATGTATGCCTTCTTTTGAAAAGTGTCTGTTCATGTCCTTTGCCCACTTTTTAATGGGTTTTTTTGTTTTTCTCTTGTAAATGTGTTTAAGTTTCTTATAGATGCTGGGTATTAGACCTTTGTCAGATGCATAGTTTGCAAATATTTTCTCTCATTCTATAGGTTGCCTGTTTACTTTGTTGATAGTTTCTTTTGCTGTGCAGAAGCTCTTACGTTTAATTAGATCCCACCTGCCAATTTTTGCTCTCATTGCGATTGCTTTTGGTGTCTTCATCATGAAATCTTTGCCCATTCCTATGTCCAGGATGGTATTGCCTAGATTGTCTTCCAGATTTTTATAGCTTTGGGTTTTACATTTAAGTCTTTAATCCATCTTGAGTTGATTTTTGTATATGGTGTAAGGAAGGGGTCCAGCTTCAATCTTGTGCATATGGCTAGCCAGTTATCCCAACAGCATTTATTGAATTGGGAGTCCTTTCCACACTGCTTGTTTTTGTCAGCTTAGTCAAAGATCAGATGGTCATAATTGTGTAACCTTATTTCTGGCCTCTGTTTTGTTCCATTGGTCTATGTGCCTATTTTTGTACCAGTACCATGCTGTTTTGGTTACTGTAGCCGGAATCATGTATTTTTTTAATTCATTTATTCATGCATTCATTATACTAGACATTTATTAAAATCTAGCTATTTTCAAAGCACCATCCTGGGCAATGTACACAATTCAACATTAAATACAAATCCAGTTCCTGTTCTCGAAGAACTTAAGATCTAACGTGACAAACATACATATGAACAAAACACAGTAAAAGCTAGGAAGCAATAAGTACTATGAAAGAAGTAGAACCAAAATATGATTGTACAAAGAAAGCAGTCATTAAATCTCATCACGAGGATCAGTGATGCTTCAAAGAGGAAGCTGAGCCTTGAAAAAGAATTTCAGTAGACAAGGAAAGAGAGAAAAGGCAATTCCAGCTGAGAGAAAAATGTATGTGTGGAGGTTTAATGAGCATGGGCATAACATGTAGTAAATGAAGGTAACCAAGTTTGCCCAGTCTGTGCTACAGATGGAAATCTCTGTAGAAGATGAGGCTGGAGTGATAAGTTATAGTGTGATTAAAGACATTTGTGACCAGAATAAGGATTTTAGACTTTAGTACCTAGTCACTTGACAAACTAGAAGTTTGTATGCTTATAATGAAGAAGTACCATTATATACCTGGGATCTTAGGCAGATAACAGAGTTTATGTAATTAAAGAGATAAGGATTGGAGAACAAGATAAAAGTTATTCAAGATATCTAGGCAAATGAAGATGAGGGGCTGAATTAGGACAATGATAATTACAATGAAAAAGGGGAATGAATACAAGAGACTGCTGAGGAGTGTTTTTAATAGAATGAAGTAATTGATTGTAGGAACCAGGAAAAAGAGAGAATCAAAGAAGATATGAATTTCTTGTTAGTTGGGCAGTGGTGGCAGTGTAAATGAAACAGAAAAAAAGAAGGAAAAGTTTATGCGAGAAGAGAATTTGCTGTAATTTAGATGTCATGAGTTTAAGATGCTAATAGATCTTCCAGGAGGAGAGACAGTTGACAACTCTCCAGGACTCCCTCATCTATCTCCTTGGTTTCAATTATCATTTATATGCTAATGACGGTCAAATCTATATTACAGCGTGTGTTTTGGGCCCCTCATAGCCCTCTCAATATGTCCAATCAATCTCCCAGTTTTCTCAATTCTACTTTCTACATTTATTTAAAATCCAATGGCTGATCTTCTTTCCTAACCAGTCTCCTAATCTAGCCTCTTATTGGGCTTCATTTTAGTCCATTTTCCATACGTAACCACAATGATCTTTCAAGACACAATTAAATCTCTTACTCTCATGTTAAAACACTTAAAGAGCTTTCTTGTTTTTTTTGTACTTTAGGATAGAGTACAACATCCTTAATGTTGCCAGAATGTCTTATCCTACTTGCCTTTCATTCCCATCTCTTGCTGCTCACCCACGTAATACTCAGTTCCAGAAAGCCAGCCTGGATTTCCTTCTGCAGACACATTAAAGACATCTTGCTTTCCTTTGTACATCTCACTTTTCCATATATGCTGTTTCCTCAGCCTGGGTGGGAATGGTGGGAAAAAAAGAATAGTTTTTATACCATCCTTTTTCTCATTTGAACTTCATCAAGTTAATCAGTATTTCACCCACTTTCCAAAACCATATTCTTACTTTACCCTTTGTTTTAAGGATGGATAGTATTATTCTTAACTTCTTACTGTATGAGGGCCTTTGTCCCAGAGCAGTAAATAATTTATCATCTTAGTCACAGATAGTCACAGAGGTACCAATAACAGTCTTCTTTTTTTTTTTTTCTTTTTGCAAAGTTCAAATTTAGTTTAGAAAGTTCTATTATTTTCTAAAAAACATTGTCTACAACTAAAGAGATTATAAGTCCTTCAGTCTACACCGTAATATAAACAAAATATCTTCCTGAAAATTAGCAGGAAAATACCTTATACAATTTATCCTTAACTATTTATTGCCTTAGTAAAATATAGTCACCACTTAAGTAGGGAAAATTGTATTCTTTTAGTGAGAATCATGGAGTCATAAAACAACATAGGATTAAGAACCAGAGGGGTGAGTTTTATACTCTATGTTTGAACATCTTTTGACCTGGACATATCACTTACAGTTTTCTGGAGATTAAGCTTTTCTTCTGTAAAATGAGTATTATTAGATAATCTTTGTGTAATATTTTGTAATGTATAAAGCTCTTTCTCATTTTGTATCTATTTTAAAAATGAGAAAATGAAGATTCAAAGAGGTTAAGGAACTTCCTCAAAATCACATAGATTTTAAATGATAGGTTCACAAATTCTGACATGGGAATAATAGTATCATGTTTACTTCACTGGTTGATGATGAAAATAAAACTGAATTATTAATCTACAAGAATTTTCCAATTATAGTGATTCTTTTATTATAGTTGTTATTGCTGTTGTCTCTACTACATAATAGGAGAGGTTAAAATGCATGAACTTATGTGCATTCATGTATATAAACTGAAAGACATTGCCATGCAAACTTGGGTCTAGATGTCTCTGGGTAGAATTAATCAAGTAAGCTTGACTATGTCTGCATTTATTCTGTCTTCTTTCTGCTTTGTTTGTTCTTGTTGTGGTTAAGATGCTATATGCAGGACTGCCTGAGCTAAGTGGAATTCAAGACCTGAAATATGTGTATAATAATCTTCGTCCGCAAGACACAGACCTGGAAGCAACAAGTCATTTTACCAAGTAAGATCAGCTATGAATGTGTGAGCATGGATGAATGAATGTAAGCAGACACATGTTCCACAATGGAGATGATTTCAGGTTGACCAGTCATTAGTACGAAGCTGTCGTTTCTAGAGCAAGTTTGTGTTCCCTTTTCCAAAGAGCAGAAAGGAAGCAATGTGAATGTCTAGCACAAGGCCTTAGTCAGTGTTTCTGCAGCATGTCATTGTTTGCTAACCAGCCTCTTCATCGAACAGATTGCTCAATAAGAGGTCATTAAAAAGAGCAAGATCCTCTGACATAAATAAATTGGTTGTTCTACTTGAAATATGTCCAGAAAAACAATTTGGAAAAAGAGATTTATGATGAGATATGTACTCACTACTTTCATCTATAAGACAATATACATATTGGGATATTTTGTCAAAGACCTGTGACTCTGTTCTACTTTTAATCTATTTTTTATTAAACAAGTCTAGCAAAACACTAATGTATATCAAGGTAAGAATCTGGGCAGAATATGATGAATATCAATTAGACCCCAAATCTGGTCAGAAGGGCAGTATGCTTTATAAGATCCTTTTGAATTTTTATTTTTAAATGGATATATAATTCCTGGCAAATTTTAGGTGCTCAATAAATGTTAGCAGTTATTATTTTCCTGCAAACAGTAGAGAAAAGCTGCATTCTTTCTTTCCTGTAACCTCTTAATTGTGGCCTTGAGTCTAATTTTTAATTGTTCTAATATTTTCCACTAGAAATTTACAAACAGATTATATTCTTTCAAGTGGAATGTATGCTTTAAAGAAAATCATGATTATAATAAAACCTTGTCCAGGTTTTACTTTTTCTCTCATTCTTCCAGAATATACAGCAAGAAATTGATTCCCATTCCAATGGTGGCTTCATGGGGTTGTCTTAGATGCCTGGGGAATTACTCTTGGCTCAGGGATTTCTGTTTCATGAACTTGAATGTGTACGCTGCCCTTGTTGAAAAAACTCAATGTGGCCGGGTGCGGTGGCTCAAGCCTGTAATCCCAGCACTTTGGGAGGCCTAGATGGGCGGATCACGAGGTCAGGAGATGGACACCATCCTGGCTAACACGGTGAAACCCCGTCTCTACTAAGAAATACAAAAAAACAAAAACAAAAACAAAAACTAGCCGGGCGAGGTGGCGGGCCCCTGTAGTCCAGCTACTCGGGAGGCTGAGGCAGGAGAATGGCATGAACCCAGGGGGCGGAGCTTGCAGTGAGCTGAGATCTGGCCACTGCACTCCAGCCTGGGCTACACAGCGAGACTCCCTCTAAAAAAAAAAGAAGAAGAAAAGAAAAGAGGCAATGTGAGAGAATCACAAAATATTACAGCTAGAAGAGCCTTTATAGTTTATTTATTCTGACAATAGACATTCGAGTGAGAAAAACTGAGATCAGTAATAAATTAAGTGCTGTAGCTTACTATTAGTCCCTCCTGAAACAGGCAAAGCCATATATGTATTTGGATGAAAAAAGTTCTTTCAGGTCCTGGCCAAAAGAAAAATGTAAATAGGCTTTATTCATCTGCCAGAATTCCATCTCTTCCTATCCCTCTACTTCATGGGACACACCGAGATCTGTAAAGAGCATGACTTGGATATCAGTGATCTTTCCTATGGTGACTCGTCTCCCCTTCCCATTCAAGAGGACATGAACTAATGTGGGAAGTAGATCTGAAGCTAGAACCTCATGGCGGTGAGGCAGACCTTGTGATCCTGCCTGTGTACCTCTGCCAGGACAATCTTCCCTCTTACCAATGTTATGTGGTATGTTCTGTTAATTAAACTTCTTTCTTCAACTTTGGGATAAAGAACTTGTTCTCCATCAAAGCCTTAAAAGGCATCAAACTATGTAAACCAGGACACATCATTTCTCAGTTGGATAATTTTCCTTGGTGTGCCATCTCCTATCTCTCAATTCCTAGGACCTTATAATCTGATTGTCTTTGCCAAGGTTTATCCAACCACCTGCCCCCTGCCTCCATTATTCCACATGAATCCTTTTCTGGATAGGCCATTCTCTCCATGTACATTCATTCCTGCTTTATCTGTTTAACTCACATTACTAGCCTCACTAGAAGTGCTCCAATGGAATCATAAAATTTCTGGAATACAGGAAGATTCTGATCTAACTTTTAATCCCACCCATCCCTTGATATTCTGGACAGCTAGTACCTTGTCCATGAAACCTTATCTGATCATTCCAGTACTCCCCAATCTTTTCTTCTATAATTCTCCTGAACATGCCATCTTTTGTGCTGTCCTTAATTTATTACTGAATTACATACTGTTTTGTTTATCCCTTTAATTAATATATTGATGAGATATATCAATTTCTCCCAAGTAAAGCAGGGAATATATTCCCACTTCTAAGAATATCTGAATGTGAAACAAGCCCTATTTAACAGAAAATACACTTTAAACATCAAATATTAAGTATATAAAAAGCATATAATAATAACTACAACTTAATGCAGTGCTTCTTGTGTGTCAAGCCCTGTTCTAAGTGCTTTTCTTACAGTAATCTATTTAATTGTCATAACAATCCTTTGAGGTATTAATATTTTTATCTACATTTTTATACTAGTGAATTGAGACCCCAGGGAAGTTAAATAATTTACCAGAGAATATTCTCTTTGCTCAAAATCACCTCTTCCATATGTGGACTCTCAGGAATGTGCTGCTTTGTATTTCAGACCACAGTCTTCTCAAAGTTTTTCAAAGCCTGCATTGGCTGAAGTTTGACAAAGATATATTCTTCACCCTTTCTCAGGCACTAATCCTCTTATCCGGAATACCTCAAGCATCAGCAGAGAACAGAAGTTCCTTCCTGGAACTGTTATCTCTATGCTACCACCAGGAGTCCCCTGGGTGTTTGGTTCCAGATCTGCTTTGCAACCTTGAGAGACCCCTAATCGGTAACTTGGCTGCTAACTTCCTGGAAGGTACCTGCCTTCCTTTTCCTTTTGTGGCCCATTCCACAATGCCATGAGCCTCTCTCTACTTTTCTTCTCAGAGAAATATCCCATGAGGCTCACTATCCCCTAACTTCCAAGAGCCCATCTCAGTCATATTTTTTAATCTAAAAGTCTCAATTACATACCTTTATTTTTAGATATGATTTAATGTGCAAATAGCATATCTGTTCAATTTCTCTCTGTTTCTTGCTCAGCATATATACATCAAGCACTGAGGATCTTTTCTATCACACATCCCATCTAGCACTATGAACAATCTCTTATAGAGAGGCCAGCAGCCTTCATTAATTGTAACGGTAACTACCATTTGAAAATGTTTCCTGAGATCTATCATTTGTACATTATATATTTCTGAAACAAATTATGCATTATGTCTTTTGAAAAGCCTTAAACAATGAATAGAGTGAATTTATGAAAGTAGCCTGGGATAATTGAAAACAACTTTAATGAAACTCTAAATAACAGGATACCCATGATTCAAATAATGGTCAAAAATTATGTAGACTTGTTCCAAGATGGCCGAACAGGAACAGCTCCAGTCTACAGCTCCCAGCATGAGAGACACAGCAGACGGGTGATTTCTGCATTTCCAACTGAGGTACCAGGTTCATCTGACTGGGGCTTGTCAGTCAGTGGGTGCAGGACAGTGGGTGCGGCTCACCAAGCAAGAGCCGAAGCAGGGTGAGACACTGCCTCACCTGGGAAGCGCAAGGGGACAGGGAATTCCCTTTCCTAGCCAAGGGAAGCTGTGACAGATGGCACCTGGAAAATCAGGTCACTCCCACCCTAATACTGCGCTTTTCCAACAGTCTTAGCAAACGGCACACCAGGAGATTATATCCTGCGCCTGGCTCAGAGGGTCCCATGCCCACGGAACCTCACTCGTGGCTAGCACAGCAGTATGAGATGGAATTGCAAGGCTGCAGTGAGGCTGGGGGAGGGGCAACCAACATTGCTGAGGCTTGAGTAGGTAAACAAAGCAGCTGTCTGGGAAGTTCAAACTGGGTGGAGCCCACCACAGCTCAAGGAGGCCTGCCTGCATCTGTAGACTCCACCTCTTGGGGCAGTTCACCTCTGAACAAAAGGCAGCAGAAACTTCTGCAGACTTAAATGTCCCTGTCTGACAGCTTTGAAGAGAGTAGTGGTTCTCCCAGCATGGAGTTTGAGATCTGAGAATGGACAGACTGCCTCCTCAAGTGGGTCCCTGACCCGCGAATAGCCTAACTGGGAGGCACCTCCCAGTAGGGGCTGACTGACACCTCACACGGCCGGGTACCCCTCTGAGACGAAGCTTCCAGAGGAACAATCAGACAACAACATTTGCTGATCTGCCATATTCACTGATCTGTAGCCTCCACAGCTGATATCCAGGCAAACAGGGTCTGGAGTGGACCTCCAGCAAACTCCAACAGACCTGCAGCTGAGGGTCCTGACTGTTAGGAGGAAAACTAACCAACAGAAAGGATATCCCCAACAAAACCCCATCTGAATGTCACCATCATCAAAGACCAAAGGTAGATAAAACCACCAAAATGGGGAGAAACCAGAGCAGAAAAGCTGAAAATTCTAAAAATCAGAGCACCTCTTCTCCTCCAAAGGAAAGCAGCTCCTCGCCAGCAATGGAACAAAGCTGGATGGAGAATGACTTTGACGAGTTGAGAGAAGGCTTCAGACGATCAAACTTCTCCGAGCTAAGGGACGATGTTCGAACCCATCACAAAGAAGCTAAAAACTTTGAAAAAAGATTAGGTGAATGGCTAACTAGAATAACCAGTGTAGAGAAGTCCTTAAATGACCTGGTGGAGCTGAAAATCATGGCACGAGAACTATGTGACACATGCACAAGCTTCAGTAGATAATTTGATCAACTGGAAGAAAGGGTATCAGTGATTGAAGATCAAATGAATGAAATGAAGCGAGAAGAGAAGTTTAGAGAAAAAAGAATAAAAAGAAATGAACAATTCCTCCAAGAAATATGGGACTATGTGAAAAGACCAAATCTACGTCTGAT